GCATTCAAGCAGAAGAATTTTTTTTTTTTAACCCTGAGAAGAATCTTTAAGAGCTTAAGTAACTTGCCCAGAACCCCACAGCTGAGAAACAGAAAGCCAGGATTCCAGTGCAGGGCTGTCTGGACCCAACACCGGTTGTTTAAAAGCTGAATTCTCCTCTAGTAGATAGAATACAGTCCACTCTGACCCAGCATGTCTTCAGCTAGAATTCCCTATTACTTGGCACGTTGCTGTAATTCCAGGACAAATCCTGTTTATAATGCAAATCCTCAAGACCCTTCTTAATCATCAGAAAGATTAAACAGTGTTCACTGTGGTTTATTAGGTATACTTTATGATGTTGTAATTCTTAGAAAAATTTTTGTCCATAAATCGCCAGTAGAGTGACTTTTTAATCCTTTTTCTGGAGGCATAATTAATGTTGGGTGACTTTTTTAATGTGGGTATTTGAATAACACATTTCCTAACCGTGTTGGGTAGTTGAGAGTTTATGGTACTTTATTGAATAAATTTATGCCTCTCTGCATTCGTGAAGTTTTCCAAAGAACACTAGGAGTTGCCAGAAAGATAAGTCCTATGAAAATGCCTTCCAAACAATTAAATTCAGGGAGGTTAAGCATAAGATGTTAGTGCTCTTTCCTGAAAAAGGATTTTTCTTTGGCAGGAATAAATGTGAAATTAAAATGGAAGTGGCGTGCTTTTGAACCGGTTAGCTTGCAGTTTGTAATTCAGAGTCCCACAGCCAGAGAGTTTAAAATTGCTAGAAAACATTAAGTTCTGTTCACAGTGCTTCTTGGAGATGGAGATTATAATGGCCTCACCATCTGAGAAAAGGTGTGTGCTGCCGGAGGCTGCCTGTGAAGTTTAGGTCTTCACTAACATTATTCGCAGCGTTGGCTTCATATGAAGCTTCTTGTCTTACTGGGTTTTTCAAAGGCAGCTCTTGTAGTACATTAAAGAGAACTCAGAAAATCTCCTTAAAAGGGGTTCAGCATTAAAAGGTATTTTGGTCTTTGGAGAAGTCCAGTAGAAATAAATTTTTAAAATCTATAAATAACTCTGCACCCTTTTGTATTTTGGGGGGAAAAGAGACGGGTAGACAGGTAAATGGCTGGAGAGATGCTGCAGTCACCGTGTAACAAACCCGGAGGAACGTAGGTGTGGAGAGGCCAGCTGGATAGATTTTTGGGATAGCTGAAGGTGAAGTGGTTCTCAGACCCTGTGGGTGTCCAGGACAGTTTCCCTGGTGGCTTCTAGGAGGAGAAAGATGAGGACAAGACCATCTTTGTGTCAGAAATTTTCTGACTTATAGTCCATGACATGGTTCTGTCTAGTTTGGGATGTTAAAATTAAAATCTCCCTGCTTTTCACTGATAGTAAAATTAGATGGTAGTTTTTGTCTATTGTGGTTTTACAAATGTCCACACATGGCAAAATGTATAGTTAGTATACAGAAAGCCGCCTCCCGGTTTGTTGGAAATAGTTCTGCTCTGTGATATCCAGGAGTCTGGGCACCGTTGATGTGCTGAGAACAACGTGGGCTTTGGCTCCAGGCAGAACTGAGGCTGAAGACCAGCTCTGCTGCTTCCCCAAGGCCGGAGAGCTGTTTAGCCTTGCTTGACCTTAGTTTTGCTACCTGCAAAGTAGGAGTAATCGGACTTGCTTTCAGGTTGTTGTGAAGGCTGAAGAAAATATAAAGCCTCTCTCCAGACTAGCCCCCCCTAGAATTGTGGGTGTTGAATGAAAGGTGTTTATCGACACTTACTAACTGTGTAACCGTGGGCAAGTTATTTAACTGTGTAACCGTGGGCAAGTTATTTAACTTCTTTGTACCTTGTTTTCTTGTTTGTGAAATAGGGCTAAAATTACACCTGGTCTGTAGGATTGTCAGGAGGATTAAATTATGTGTCTAGAAGGCGCAAGCGTTCCTCGAGGATTAGCTGCTACTTATTATTTTATCATTGCTAAAATGACAGCTGCCATTGAGAATTTACAGGTACTCCTTTTGTGGAGTTTATGGTCACATGAGGAGGTTATATCAAAGCACACAGATAATGATGGTATTCAAGTACGACTTGCAAAATGTGATCAGTGCTTTGAGGAAGGTAAGGACCTGGCCTGGTACATAATAGATACTCAGTAGAGTTTGTTAATTTAAAGTAAAATAAAATAAGAGTTGAAGTGCTGTGTGAGCCAGAAAAATCTTCTGGTCTCTAGGACCTTAAGCTTCCTTGGTTATTCACCAGGCTGGTGGAAGAGGAGGTCCCAGCCCCGTCCACTGACTGTGTGCCCAGTTATCTGCTTGTCCTCGTACCCTGTCCTCGCTTCCCCTCACTGTCTTGAGTCCACATCCATGCGATGTGATCCTCCCTGGACGATTCTTTGACCTCTTGTTAACGACGTCTGTAGAGTGTGCAGTGCAGAGGGCTGTTCAGGTACCTTCTCTACACACCCCCCGCCCTGCTTCTCCCTATGCTCTGTTCTCTCCGTAGATTAAAATAAAAACAAGGAGGTAGAGGGAGTGCTCCTAACTGGTTAGTTTTCCTGGATTTACAGGGAGTCTCTGGGAATATTCTGAATTAGTATTACCAGTTACCGTTTTTAACAGGATGCTAAGAAGTGGCAGAGGGAAGTGAGCAGTACTGGGGGCCTCAGGGAGGAGGCGCCCCTGGAACGTGAGGTGGTCAAGCCGAGCACCAGGTGGTGGAAGAGCCCTGACCTTGAGCGGAGAGGGCCGGAATCTAGCCCGTTAATGCCATGACCAGTGTGTGCTGGCCACGCGGGGCCCTGGTTTCCTGGGCAGAACAAGAGAATCGGGTTAGGGGTCTCAGACCTCCTCTGCCATCAGCTGTTTGTGGTTTTGTTCTCCAGTCACCACTCTTCTGAACATGATCACCAAGTGTTACTGCTCTTAAAACTGATGTTCTCTGTTAGTTTATTCTTAATCAGTTTAAATCTAGTGTCTGGTCAATTAAAAAACTTGCCTTTATAGTTTCTATTATAAAAAGTACCTATACACTTTATTTATTTTACATTATTTTTATTTTATGTATATTTTAGTTATTTATTCTACCTCCACACTTCTTATTTTTGCCAGTGGCTTCTCTCTCTCCCTCATCCCTGTCCTGGTCCATCCTGTTCATAACAGACAGTGCTGGTGGTTGGCACCTGTCATCACAGACTTTCCTAGGCATGAACGAATATACCTGTAAATGTGAAATGCTTCTGATTTCAGAGGGCCATACTATACATGTGGTTCTGAAACTTTTTGTTAATTAGCGTATTAGAGAGTCAGAGTCCAAAGCAATATTCGATGGAAAGCCAGTCCCCCTCACACCCTAATCCCCAGTTCCCTCTCTTTAGGGGCAGTTGTTTGTATCCTTCCAGAAATTTTCTCTGTATATACAAACATAAATGTCTTTGGTTTTTTAAAAATTCTTTTTTGTAGGATTTTTTTTGGGGGGGAGAGGTAATAAGATTTATTTATTATTAAAATTTTTAAAACATTAAAATTTTTTTTTTAATTTTAATTTTTAACGGAGGTATGGGGAATTGAACCCAGGTCCTCATGCGTGCTAATAAGCATGTGCTCTGCCACTGAGCTATTCCTTCTTTCCCCCGATTTTTTTTTTAAATGCGTGCAGTGGGAGTGTACTATTCACTGTTTAGCTCTTTGCTGCTTTTTTGTTTGTTTAACAGTATTTTGGAGATTATTCCACATCAATTTATGTATCACTTAGTAAGTGCTCAGAAATGTTAATTATCATTTCATTGTCATCGGTACATAAAAGGTTTCCAATTCTTTTTTTTTTCCCCCAAGGCTGCAAAACATTCCATTGCTGCGTTGGTTCCTTATTGACGGACCTTAGAATATTTCCGGTATTTGGCTATTACAAATAACGCTTCAGTGAACATCTTTGTTCCTACATCTTTGCATAGACATTATATGTCTGCAGGAGAGACTCCTCTGGAAAGAGCGTGCCTTTTAAATTTTGTTAGGTATATAGAAGGCAGTCTGGCAATTGGTTGAACCCATTCCCCCAAGGATGTCTGAGAGTGCCTGGTTCCTCGGCCCTTTCTGGAACTGCTCCGTCCTGGTTTCCTGTCTGATGAGTGAAAATGATATGTTTCCATTTGCATTTTTTCACTAATAACAAAACTGCATGTTTCTTTTTTATTTGATTAGCATCATAAGAGTCTCTTTTCTGGGCCGTGATACATCTTCTGCCTTTTAAAAATTTGCCACTGTTGTCACTTGTAACTTTGTTTTGCAGATATTTAAAATTTTTATACAGTCAGATTTATCTTTTTCTTCATGGCTTTTGGGTTTTCATTCTCGACTGGAAAGATTTTTCCTACTCTAAGATGATTAGAAAGTTCTCCGAAGTCACCTTCTGATGATATTTTTGTAATTTTACTTCATACATTTAAATTCCTGAGAGCCAGTGAAATCTGTGCTTAATTGTAATATTGGATTATCATTCAGCTTATGTTTGCTTGGGTGGTTCGATACTGAAATTCCAACAAAACCACAGGTCGCCTGAGTAGGTTGAGCATAGAATGGAAGACAGGGCTACTCAGCATTGTGATGTAATTAATAGTTTCCACAACTTAAAATTCCCGTTTTGTCCTGTATAATTCACATCATAGCTTCCCACTCCCCACAGGAACTTCTTTTAGATAGAAGAGCCTTCTGCTTTATTGACAATTTACCACTGATTTGAAACACATTGATATTTATTCTTGTGTTGCATTGATTAGAAGGCTAATATTTGGCCCTTTTATTAATACAGAGGAAGGACTTAAGCTCACTGTTTCTTAGTTACAGTTGCTACTGCACAGTTTCCAAGGTGGGTTCTTAGTGACTGCAGTCTAGTAGGAAACGGAAAAGCAATGGTAGTAATTTTTCTCCGGAAAGTGTGGCATCTGGAATATTGAGAGGATTTATCCACTATTATTTTTCAAATATCCAAAGTCACTGACACTGCTTAGTTACTTTGGTTTGGGGGCAATTTATGATTTTTCTAACTAATAGCTGTTACTGGGGAAAAATTTTTAAAGGTTTTATTTGCTTTTTTTGCTAGCTTGCCAGCTCTTTCTATTCAAAATGATCAACAAAACTAGATTCACTGGGCCGTGGTTTTCCCACCCAGGGAAACTACTTGATTCTGCCAATTTCTCAGAAACTTTTTGGGTCTAAATGCAGTGTTTAATATTCCTCTTAAAAGGAAGAGTATCTATACTTCCAAAGCAGTAGTCTCACTCTCTTACTGGAACCAGGAAAATTGTGGCCATGAATTGTGCTGGGAAAGGTATGAGAGATGATCTGGTGCTCCATCTAAAGAACAGAGATTCAGAAAGAAGTAACTGGTTCAAGACCAGAGAGGATGGCCAGACAAGGACTAGTAGGCCTTTGGACTCCTGGTCTAGCCCAGTTAGTAGATAAACACATTAAAATATGATGGTTTCTTTGTAATTTTGCTAGAACTAAAGATCATGCAGTGTATTGAATAGTTGATGATAAGTTTTAGAGCAAATCTGTTGCATGAAGCAGCATTTTGCAAAATATATTCCAGATGTGTTAGTAGGTTGTATTGTGGAAGAAAGGGCAACATAGAAAACTTGTTTTCCCCCTTTTTTCCTTTTTTAACAGAGTATCTTAGGGTATTAGTGTCTAGGAAAACACCCTTGACCACTGCGACCTACAACTCAAAACCAAAGGAATCCCTGAGTCACACTGCCCTGTTTAGAGGAAGAACATTTCAGGGTTGGTCACTGGGGGGGAAATCGTATTTACCAACTGTATTTCTCAATCAATGAAAGATCTCGTGCGGTAGATCTGTGTCAGTGGTAAGTCCCTCTGCAATGGTTCTGTCCAGGTCCTCGAAGGATCCGTGAGACCTGAGGTTAGAGCAGGAGAAGGAAGAGGCTGGCTCAGGTCCCTTCCGGGTAGGATTGACTAGAGTCTGTAATGGTCACCAGTCACTTGGAGAGCTCACTTAATGACGAAATAGGTCAAATGAGGTAATTCACCCACTGTTGGACCTTAACGAGATGCCTGCAGAACACAGCTCGAAGGAGACCGAAGACAGAACCTATTGGATGACCTTGTAACTCGCGAGAGACTACTTCTGGCATCCTTTAAGAACGAGGGTGCAGAGCCAGAGCTCATCAGGTATGGCGTTTTCACTTCCAGGGATTAGGGTGGTGGGTGAAGATTTGTTTGCAGAGATGATAGCTGTTTCCCAAATGGCTTACTTTCTTGAACTAGTATACTATAGCCTGTTCATTTATAGCGTTTGACTCTCACTTTCTGTTCAGTTTAGTTTTCATTACATTTCTAGATTTAATAAACCAGGTACGTTCAGCTGAATCCCATCTTCCAGGAAGACCGTTCAGGTGGAACAGATACGAAGTCAGAAAATGTCTTTTCATCCTTTGGTTGAGCTTTCTGCTGTGCTCGCTGCCTTTTAAACTCCTGAAGTCATGTACTTATCTGTGTTAGAAAATGATTTTTTTTTAATGGGCTTGTTATAAAAATGTGTCCTGAAGACTGCAATCCATGGCTCATGGAATTAGAGGAGGAGGGCGGTGGGTTTCTTTTCCTTGTTCTTTGCCAAGGAGGGGTTCCCACTTTACAGAACTGGCAGCTGCTGTGGCCCTGGCTCTGTCGAAGACCCAGAGAAGTGGTCCAGCTTTCCAAGCTGAGGTTAATGAACTGTAAATTGTGGCATATTTAGAATTGGCCTCCCCCTCTGCCTCTGGAACTCTCTTAACCTCATTGTGGGAACCATCACAGAGGAGATCTGGCTAAACCCTGCCTTCACCGTGGAGGGGCAGCTTGTTCCTGCTTAGCTCTTGGTTGGGAATGAAAGGGCTTCCCAAGGGCGATGGTTTTTGACCCAGGCTCTGCCTCAGATAATTAAACCCGGGGGCGGGGTTGCGGGGGCGGGGTTGCGGGGGCGGTCCTAGAGGGCTCCCAGGTGGTTCTGCGCAGCCGGTATTGGACCCCTGCTTTAAGGCGGCCGGAGAGGGTGCTGCAGGTTCCTGTTGGTCCCAGTCTTCTCGGGAGCCTGTGACCCAAGGTTTGTAGAAAGGGTGAAATTCAGGAAGCTAGATGAAGGCTTAAGTTGTTTCTATGGGGAAATGAAAGCAAGGAGTCCGTGAGGGAGGAGCTGTGTCCGCGCAGGGTTTGTAAGTGGACGCGGAAGCCGGTGGCCCATCCGCGTGGTGCCCGCCTCTTCTCTGGCGGATGCAGGAGTGAAGTCGGGGGTGAAGGCGGCGACCCAAGGGCTGGAGGAAATGAACAGGTGAGCAGGGGAGCCAAGGTGAGGAGAGAGTTTCGTGGGTCAGGGAGGGGCCTTACGTTGAAGCCCAGAAATGAAATAAAGGCATCCTCAGGGGGAGAGCAAGTTCTGCTGGGGAGTAGGGGCCGCGGAGAGAGCGCACGGTCGGAGGAGAAAACATGGAAATCCGCCTACTCTTTCCGGGTGGAGGTGGCCGTTCTGATGGGTAGTGACCGTCACTGTGTCCATTCTGCTTCTCTCCATTGTCATTTAATGATGTCGAAGGGGCCAACTTCTGGATTAAGTCTTTGTAGGGGGTTTTGTTGCTTTTTTGGTTCCTCTCGCTTGTCACCCTGTCCTTTTTTTTTCTTCTTCTTGTCACCCCTCTTCTCTCCTGTGACGATGTGTTTCTTTGCTGTTTAAAGCATGACCTGTACATGTGCAGGGTCCACTCCACCTGGGAGCCGGTTAGAAATGCAGATCGGACCCCATCCCCACCCTACGGAATCGAATTCTCATTTTAACAAGACCCTCAGGTGATTTGAATGCACCTTAGAGCTTGAGAAACACTGCTTTCAAGCTCTTGTTCTTAATTGTGGCAGGCTGCGTCGGAGTCACCCAAGAGGCTTTTAATTAAAAAAAAAAGAGAGAGAGAGAGAGAAGGAAAATACAAGTTCCCAGACCATATATTGCAGAGTCTGAACGAGTAAACTGGGAGAGGCCTGGGGGGCACTGCTGGGGTGGGTCTCCCAGGTGGTAGGGTTAGAACCACTGCTCTGTCACGGGGTCCGAGTGATGAGCGCCAATAGCTTCCATCTGCCCCGTGTTTTCTGGGTGCCCGGCGCTATGCGAAGCTCACGCGCCTGCGCGCAGGAGATCTTGATAACGTCCCACCTTGCAGAAGAGAAACTTAGGCTCGGAGGGGTTAGGTAACCTGCTGGAGATTCTAAGGCTCATCAGTCCCAGAGTTTGGATTTCCTCTAGCTCTGTGCGTCTTCAGATGTGAAGTCTTAACTGCTGCACCACAGGAAGAGCGGGACCAGGAGCTAGGACTCCGCCCTGCTGCTTCCCGGTCCTCAGGGCTTCAGAAATCACTGACCTTAAAATGGGGTATGTGTTCTGCCTCTTTTTCATTGTTTGGACTAAGTGAGGTGGTGGTTTTGTGCTTTGTAAACTCTAGAGCCTTTACGAATACAAGATGTTGTTTAGGCAGGGAGGGAGCTCAGGTTGCCTGGAGACCCCTGGCCCTCCCCCGAGTGCCCAAGGGGGACCCATATTCTGCACCTGGTCCTCTGCCCTCCCGTGCTCGCTTCCCTAGGCTCATTCTGTGTCCCTTTCCTCAGTGACCACCTTGCTGCTTGTTGTCCAAATGGTAACCAGTGGCACGTTCAGTCCAGCAGTGGCACCGTGGCTGGCAGTGACTTATCTTCTGGAGGTGTTTTAGCGGAAGCCTGCTGGAGCCCAGAGCAGTCAGTGGTGGGAGAATCTTAGGGAATTGGGCAGAGTAGCGGCAGAGGTGTTTTGGATGGAGGCCTGCTGAGCCCCATCACTAGAACGCCGCCTACTGCTCCTGTGTTTAATTTAAGGCTGAGCCCCGTGGTGGGCCTCAGGTGTTACTTGCTGGTGAATGATTGGGGTGGCTGGGGCCAGAGAGATGGTGAAGCAGGGAAAGCTGAAGTCCTGAGGGTCTGAAATAATGCAGGTAAGCGGCCAGGCCTTTTGCCCTTTTTTGGGTTATTTTTTGCCCCGCCCCCCTTTTTAACAGCTAATCCCCACACTTGAGGCCTCCCCCTCCATCCCTGACTTCCCATACCCTAATAATTGCTGTGCACGGACCTAGGCTTCTGAGGCTCTGAATTCAGTGGTTAGACATGACTAGTTTGAGTTCACAGTGCGACCTGGCCCTCCTGCCTTTTGATGGGCAGGCTGCCCAGTCACTTCTGATGCACCTATCAGCGACCTTGCAGCTCTGTCTTTGAAGAAACCTCATTCCTTCCCCTGCCATCAGTTTCTCTGATGTCTCCAGCGATTCAGAGATTTCTTCAGTCCTCCTATCGGTCAGTTCTAGTTCTGGGCTCCTCCAGCAGATTTGTTTGCTTCTTTAGTCTCTGGAGTCCTCCAGTGCTTTTTGTTTGCTTCTGTAACTCTTGATGTCAATGTAGGTTACCTTGTCACTCGGGGCACAGTGGCCGGGTAGGGGTGGCACATCTTTCCTGTAGTTCCACAGCCTACAGAGACATGTTGGCCAGAAAGCCTTCGCAGAACTTTAAAAGGTTACAGACCTGCTCTCCCGGGCACTTTTGTCATCAATGCCAGACTGTCACCACACATCACCTGTTGGGGAATGGGGGTTAATCTGCTAATCAGTATTTTGAAGCCCTGCGTTAACTGGCAGCAATACTGCAGGATCAGTTGACCCAACCAGGACCCCCTGGGACCTTGTCGGGCCTCTCTGTCCTCCTGGGTCCCTCCCTCTTCCTCTCCCATTGCCTCTGTGAGCTCTGCCTCCTCTCTCACCCCAAGTCTTGGCTTTCTCTCCCCCATCCCTCACTCCCTGGAGTCCTTCCACCCCTCCCTTTCCTCCTCTTTTCTCTTCCTCCTCATATGTGGCCTTATTAGGGAGACTAGAGTATTGTCAGACTTCGGTTTGGATTAGCATTTCCTTTAAACAGACATGAGTGTAGCCACCACGTAATTGAATGTGTAACTGTCATGTGACAGAATCTGAGTTTTACCTTACGGATTACTGATCATTATTCTAAAGCAGTAAGCCTTGATGTGAGACTTTGGTCTAAATAAGCAATGGTTGACTAATTGAGGGCATTTGGAAACTTGTTAAAGAAGTCTCTGTGTAACGACGTCTCTTGGAAGAAGATAAGCCGTAACTTCGAAAGCAGTGACACAGCTTCTGATTTAAAACCTGACTGCCCTTTATATTTGAGAGCATTGCTGAGTCTCACAATTAGTTAAATCTTTGTCTGCAAAGAAGGAAAAAAAAATCATTGCATACTCCACTGCTCTGTGACCATCTCAAAGATTATGTGATTAACTCGGCTGTAGTGGGTGGCTAATTGGCTAAGCTTTAATCTTCACACCACCAACTATATTGAGGATTACAAGAAATAGGAAGTTATTTAGAGGTTGAAATGGGAGTTATGTGTCAGGAATGGTACATTAACAAGCAGAACAATTGCTAAAATCAAAAGACTAAAAGATAATAATGAAATGTCACTTTTTTTAGAGTGGGAAGTTTACATTTAATTTCAGATATTTACTTTTTCTTTGAGCTGCTTAAAAAAAAGTGATACTTCCAACTTATATTTCATATCACTGTATTGATAGCCAGGGTAGGTAAAAGGAAAATTTGCATTAAATATTCATAGTATTCCTCCTGTACCACTGTAGATCATTGAATGTTTTCTTTCAATTTAAACCTTGGTTTATAAGAATGATTTCTATCTGATAGTACTGAGATTTCCAAAAAAAATTGTTATTTTTATATTACCTAAATATTTATTATATTATATGTATTATATTTCCTAAATAATTATTATTATTTATGTTGCTTTAAGTTATTGACACATGGCCAGCCTGCTGTTTCAGAAGTGGGAAATTGCTAAGGAATACACACCTGCATCATTAGCCTGCTCATGTGGGACAACAGAGAAGCCATAATTATTTATCCTTTTTATGTATGTCCCAGAAATAGACTTGCTTTTAGGTCATATGACATGTAAAGGATGTGCTGAACTCAGTAAAGATACCCTTTCCTGCTTCAGTGAGCCCAACAATAGTTTAACCAAAGTGGCATTAAGTTCAGCTAAAGAATATTAAATTTCTCAGATAATTTAATGAAAAATTGTTAAGAAATCAAAGATGTGGTAAATAG